TGAGCACGGCAATAAAGCTACTAAGACACAAGGGGGTTACTGAGTGTGAGAAAATATGTGAAAAAAAGAAAACACTTGGATTTTTGAAAATGGATAGTCCAGTGGGGTATTTAGACATATCAATACAAAAATCCTTAGAGTGTTACAATTATGAAACATATTGTCACACTGATAAAAAAACACAACGGACAATCTCCATTACAATATACATTAAATCAAAACTTGAACTGAAGATATAATTATTCATTGAAATGAAAATTATAAATTTGTTGCATTAACATGTGTTGAAAATTGTAAATAAAACCAATGCAATAATCGAGAAAAGTTTTATTCATCCAAAATATCCACGATATATTTCCATGAATTGGCTTCCCTCTGTCTTTTCTATAAATATTTTCTTGCCATTGCTCTGACAAGCTTTCTTCCCTAGTGCCCCAGCTACATGAATTTAAGTGTGCTACTAGATTGGCACCTAGATCCCACCCGTTTACTGTTGAAATAGCGAAACATAGCCACCACTTCTACTCCTACAGTTTCTTTTCTCGCACTTCCCGACTGTGGAACTCCCTTCCTTTTACTTGCTTCCCTGATAACTACAATCTTCAAAAATTTAAATGCAATGTCAATCACCACCTTCTATCTTCTTGAATCCTGTTCATATTTTGACCTTTCCTCAAGCCTCCCTATACTCAGTCTTTTCTCTCACTTTCACTCCTTGTAACCTCCTGCGTACTAGTGCCATTCCTGCCTTGCTTGAGGGTGAAGTGATTTTAAAAAAATAGAAAGGTATTACATTAGCTAAATTTGTGATTACAGGAATGAAAGATAAATAATATATATATATGTGTGTGTGTGTGTGTGTGTGTGTGTGTGTGTTTGTAAATGGAATAAATCGTAAAGAGCCAGAAACAAGCTGGCTTACCCTGAAAATCCATTTAGGTGAAACCTAGGTAGGTTGTTCCTGGCTCTTTAGGATTTATTCCATTTATCCCTGCCCTACTTAGCATATTGAGCACTCTACATTTTAGCTTTATTACTCAGTTGGGTTTTTTTCTTTGAACTAAAAACTTAAGGCACTGGACGATTCATTTCACCCTGTTCGAATGTTTCTAGTTCTTTCTTTTTTTTTTCTAATTTTTTTCCTTGGGTACCAATTTGTTTTATATATATATAATGAAAAATTCATGGGCAGAGTTGAATTAGACCAGGAAACAGTAGTATTAAAAAGTACTCAATACACATATAAAAATATAAAAATTTAACATGTAGAGCTTTTAAATATAAAAAATTAGATCAGCCGATTCTGCTACCTTGGTTTCAACCTTTTGGTATCTTTAGGTGATTTTGGTTAATTGATTTGCTAACAATTTATTTTTTAAAAAATGAATGAATGCTTTATTATTTAAAAATAAATAAATAAACACACGACATGAAGTGTGGTAGAAGGGAAGGAAGAGGAGGAGGAGAAAAACAAGGGTATTGCAAATGTATTGGTGGGAGGTTAAATGAAATATACATACTTTCTTTTCATCCCACTTCATATGAACAGGAATGTTTTAGTGTGTATGCAATGAGTCAATTTCTGATCTCTCATTCAAGAGATTTTTTTGGAAATGTTATTATAGTTAACTTTTCTTGTTGACAAAAGTTGCAGATATCTCTATGATTGTTGTAAGGATGACTTTTTTTAAAACCAAGGTAGCGGAATCAGTTTGCCTTTTTTTTAAACCAAGGTAGCGGAATCAGTTGATCTTCTAATTTATATGTATACAGTCAGGTGGGGGTGACAGGACCACTGAAGAAGACAAAGTGATATCTAACTCCCATGACAACTGAGCTACAACTGTGCTACATCGCATGCTACACACCCCCACTGAGTTAAGAGAGTAGTGGGATGGAACAAAAGAAAGAAGCTGCCAACTAGGAATTACAAATACTTTAAAATATTTTGGATAACAAACACCACATGTGATGAACACATGGTTAAGTAGAGAGAACAATAAAAGAATAGGAATTAAGAAGATAGAACATAACAATTGACATTGCAGTATCTGTCTGAAGGACACATGGAACAGTGGATAAAGGCGTTAGTTAGATCCAGTGACAGGACACAAAGAGTGTGAGTTTAATACCCGGTTAAGCCAGTGGAGAACTTGGAGAGGGGAATTAACAAGTGATAACTGATAACTGACATCCATTAAAACATGGCACGTGGAACTAGAACAGTCTACCACAGTGAGTGAAATAAAGGGTTCAGTTTGACATTCCAACCACCTGAAGAAGGCCGGAGTGTACAACGGCCAAAACGTAATAAATATGGTGACAAAGATGAGAACAATAGTCCGAATAATTGACATTGCATTTAAATTTTTGAAGATCAAATTTGACTGAGAAGCAAGATGCCAGAAGAGAGTTCTATAAACAAGAAGTACAAGTGAAGAAACTGTTAGCATAGAATTTACAGTTACTGAGACCTTACCACCAATCTAGTATTGTGCTTAAAATCTACAAACCGTAGATTCATTGAACAATCAGAACAATTACCATGAATGTATTTAAAATACATAAATAATAAATTCTAAATACATCTCTCATTTATAAACTCCTTTCAAGACTAAATTTAGTCAGTTTTAACTGAGATCTCTGGAGGTTGATCAAACAAAAAGAGAAAGAAGGAATAGGAAAGAGGAGAGAGTCTATTAACTGGATGATAATTGTTGAAATTGCATCAAGATGGATTGAAAAATTGAGAAGAAAATTAAAAAACAAAACGCATTGAAAAATAATGTTTTGAGATAATTCCAAGAAGAATCGAACTCAGATTTAACTAGATGAAATTCAGTAAGATTGAACAAACCCAAGACTGGCCATCCTTCCCCAACCTTCCACCGATAAGAAAGAAACCATTAAGGTATCCACAAAGATGTCAGATAAAATAAAAACATATGTTTCAAATCAAACACCCAGTAGAAAAAATATATAGAGTGATGGTAAGAGACAAAGTATAAAGACAGTAGGAGTTAAGGGGTGATTCCTCTCACCACTCTCAAAAGGAGACTGGACAACCCCACATTTGGAAAACTACTTGAGTAAATGTATTTCTATATATGGAAATTTAGAAAAGGTTGATACTTAGGGTAGAAAGCAACCAAACCCAGACCTTAGTCAACCCCACCCCAGCCAGACACAGGATTTCATATAAGCTGTAGATTTTGAACTCAAAAACAGTTGAGAACAGTTAACAGAACAGGAGACACAACAAAAAGAGAGACACACCAGAATCTGTATCATTTGCCGAGAACTCCTGACCAAAAACCTTGTGCCGGACATGAAGGCAAGAACTTAGAAATTGAAGTTATTATTAAAACAAGCAGCAGACTCTGAAGGGGATCCCAGTGTCATTTGGTTAGAACAACAAGTTGGAAGGGTTAAAACCGGTGTATATAAAAATCATATATAAGCGAAATTGTTGTTACATTTTTAACTCAAGTTAATTCTTTATTCTAAAGGATTCTTGTTTTGTGTGTAGCTCCCAAATGATTGAACTGTCTTCACTTCAAGTTTGCTTCATCAACAATCTTCTCACCCTCTGAGATCAAAAACACAACATGGCTGAGGAGTGAATGGTCATGAACAGACAAACACCAGCTAAGTTGAGTGGAACCATGCCACCAACACTATACCAGAGATAAAACAAGTCATGCACTAATGAGTGAAGTGTCAGCTAAACACTAACCATTGCAGTCTGAAGGAACTTGAGGACCAACAACTGGGTAGCATAATTGGTTACTGCTGTCTAGGGCCGACAACAGAGGTATTGCACATTTGGTTGCTGTTGACCAGGTTTGATACCGGTGGGGTTGCAATGGACATTAAATTTAAATTAAATCTATACAAATTAACCCAGGTAGTAAGATGCTCAGGCAATATGAGAGAGGCATTTGTATTCATGAATATGTGGTTTCAGTCATTTCAATGGAAACTAAATGTAATAAATTTGCTAAAAAGTCGAAAATATATATATAATATAAGTTTTGTTAAAATCAAAATAATCATTGGAACTAGATTAATCAAGAATGAGTAGCAAGGCTTTTTGCATATTCATAAATCAATACCTGATTGTCATGATATCAATATTTGATCAATTAATGATAAAAAGTGAAAAAATAAATCACTAAATTCCAAGATATAACTCTACAGACATTATAACACACGCCATAGTGTAACATTAACTTTTTTATGTACTCCATTGTGTAACACCAACATCATAATTTTACTTATTATAAAACGCAGATTGTGTGTGTGTCTGTACGTTTATATATTGGATCGGATTTCCTACATTTTTCAACCGATTCCAACAAAACTTCACAGGACTGCATAAAATTACCTTGCAGTGGTTCTGACAGTGCCAAAAATTGGAAAAACACAATTGTTTTTGCATGAAATCAATTTGAAAACATGATTAAGAGGCATCACGAGAATGAAAGGGGGACAACTCATATAGAGTTATACTTATTATAAAACCCAGGTTGTGTGTGTGTGTGTGTGTGTGTGTGTGTGTGTGTGTGTGTGTGTGTGTTCGTTTATAGATGGGATCGGATTTCCTACATTTTTCAACCGATTTCAACAAAACTTCACATTTCTTTTTGGCAGGTAGCGTTTTTTATTGTCTTGCACACTTTTTTCTTTATTTTTACATTCAGAATTCTTTAAAAATTCCATTTACAAGACAATTGTTTATAATAAAATTCTATTCAATTGGTAGACTCATAACGATTGAAAACAATGTTTTTGTTTGAGTTTGGGTTTGACCAATTCGTAAAAAAAAAAAAAAACTAATTAAGATATGCGTGTCTGTCAACCTTAAACAATAATCTTTGTCAATTTTATTTTTCAGTCTTTATGATGGTTGATACTTGATCTATCTCTTACTGTTACATACCCGGGCAATGCTGGGCTCTACTGCTAGTATACTCTATAAGCTTATGGACAAATAATATTGAAAACACTAGTTCTCATTTGATCACTGGAGTTAAGCAATGTTGAGTCTGGTCAGTAATTAGATGAGGAACTGCTTGGGAACAACAGGTACTGTAAGTAACCTCCTACAATCTGAAATGTGTTTGAGCTTTAAATGACACATAAAGGTTTGATAAGCCATAAATAATAAAATCAATTAATCCATAATCTAACTCCATTTGTTATACATTGTTTTTAATATAAGAATTTCTAAAATTTGAATGAAAACTCATGAGATATTTTCAGTTATTTTACAAATTTCTTTTCTTTTTTCCAGTTGAGTTTTGTTCTGGGTATGATGATATTGTAATCTTTTTATTCCTCAAATTTCATAAACATTTTCAAATTACATCATCGATCAACAAATCTTGCAGTAGGTGCATGTTGAAATCATGCCATCAAATGTTGCAGGCAGTTAAAATAAAAGCAGTGCTAACAATAGTTTGCACAAGTAAATGACAAGTGTAAAGAAATTAATGAATTTCAACAAGGAGATATTTTATATTTACACTATTTGCATTGTTCAGATTTTTGTCCTCATCTTTATTGCCACATTCACAATGTTGTACACTCTAGCCTTCTTCAGAATCTGTCTATATTTCTGAGATGAGGTTTTGAATTTACATTATTTTGAAACATTCAAACTGTTGTCCTCATCTTTATTGGCATATTCACAATGTTTCAACCATTGTACACTCTGGCCTTCTTCAGGATTTGTCTATATTTAATTAGATAAACAGTTAATATCATGGCATGATTGAACACACAACCCACCACCGCTTTGCCTTAATATTTAGTAAGTGGCAAATAAGATTTTCATGATTAGTCAAGTAGCTTTCTGAATACCTCTTTCAAGTAACTATAATGACTTTCAGATTTTAGTCTGGATATTTGTGTGAACTTCAAACTGCTTTGCTCACTAAAAATAAAATGGCAATTATTACTGCATACTGGAATTTTTTAAACTTATAAATTCATTTTTTTAATATTGGGCTTTTAATTTGATTTTTTAATATAAAACATTTTTTCTTTATACTATTTACATTTTTCGGACTGTTGTCCTCATCTTTATTGCCACATTCACAATGTTTTGGACATTGTACACAATGGGCTTCTTCAGGTAATAAATGTTAGAATTTTGAACCAAACCCATTATTTAGTCCAGGTGGGGTGGCTTGTTCTAATTCCATGGCGGTAGATTGTTCAAAATTCCAACGTATATCACCTGAAGAAGGCTGGAATGTAGAACAGCCAAAACATCATGAATATAACAATAAAGATGAGGACAACAGTCTGAACAGGTCCTGGGTATAATGATAAACTACATCCAGCAACAAGGCTTTTGATCAGGAGATTGGCGGTTTTGATGAGTGTGGAACCATCTCTTAATAGCTGTTGTCCCCAGATCAACCCTGACCTGGGGGGGGGTTAACACCTGTTAGGGTGTCGGCTATGGGCAACTAATGAACCCCAAAGAAAAATAAACAGCACATTTTTATGTAAAAATGACAAATAAATTTTTATAGTAAAATCATGAAAAATACATTTTATGATCTACAAAATGTTATCTAAAAAATATAACTTTCCTATGAATATATAATTATGTACAAAATATCTGTAGTTGAAAGTTGAAATTATGTACAAAATATTTAGATTTCAGCATTAAATAACCCATAGAGGTGTTGATATGCTGCCAAACAAAATCAATAAAATCAATAAACATGAAAGAATTCTTTCATGACATTAAACCATGTAATATCCAGCAATTTCTTAAAGAAATTAAACTGTATTCCAAAATATAACTTCAACAAAACTCCAACACGAAACACACTCATCATCGCCTCTAGTAATTATGTCCACACAAACATGTATATGCACAAAAGATGAGTATCATCTACCATTCATTTGTGAAAACAGAATAATTTATATCATATTTTTATTACTTAATCTCCCAAGAAAATTCAATTTTGGCATTAAGTGGCCCATAAGGTGTTGATATGCTGTTAAACAAATCAAATCAAAATTCACTCTGAATGATGTAAATAGTTACAATACATCATCTCAGAAATATAGACAGAGATATTTTATATTTTTGTTTTATATAACAGAGTAAAAAGAGAGAAAAATACATAAAATCTCTAGGTTCAAACAGAAAGAATTGAATATTGGCTATCAAGCACCAAAACTTTTATTCTAAACTTAAAACAACATGAACATCAAATTCTCATATCATTGTTTATTTTCTGCTTTTGTTTATTTTTAACCCCACAAAGGTAAAGTTGAACATTCACCTCCCTCAAAAAATGGTGTGTCAAAAGGATGTTTTTTTCTCTTGACACTGCTGTTATTGCATATTCATTGGGTAATTTTTATGGTTTTAAAAAGCTATTTTATGTAAAAGTGACAATGAAACACTAAAAAAATATAAAAATAAATTTTTATAGTAAAATCACCAAACAATACATTTTATGATCTACAAAATGTATATCTAAAAGACATATCTTTACTCTGAATATATAATTATGTACAAAATATCTGTAGTTGTAAGCATGAAATTATGTACAAAATATTTAGATTTCAGCATTAAATAACTCCAAGAGGCTGACATACCACCAAACAAAATCAACCTAACAACCAACATGAAAGAACTCTTTCACGACATTAATCCGTATAATATCCTACAATTTCTTAAAGAATCAAATTGTATTCCAAATATAACTTCAACATAGTTTATTTTCTGCTTTTGTTTATTTTTAACCTCACAAAGGCAAAGTTGAGCATTCACATTCCCCCAAAAATGGTGTGTGAAAAGGACGTTTTTTTCCCTTGAGGCTGCTGTTATTGCATATTCATTGGGTATTTTTTATAGTTTTAAAAGCTATTTTTAAAATTTTAATAATATCCTGGATTTATTCATTTTCTCTTTTTCTTGAGAAGTAATAACAAAATAATTAAACATTTTTATTAATTTAATATTTACAAGATTATAAAAAATATGTGAAACAACTGAAATGCAATCATTTATTATTTACCAATATTGTAAAATATTATCAAAATAATTTTTTATTCATTATTATAGAAATTTAATTTTTATTATTTTAAAAATGTTAACATTATATAAATCGTCTAAGTTGTTTTTTTTAATGCCTGTTCTTTTGAGAGAAGTGTATTTTTTATGAAGGGCAGATGGTTTGTATTAAAAATTGCTACAATTGTACATATTTTTCAGCTTAGTGGTTAAAATCTGTCAAATTTTTGAAGGATCCATTTAGTTTATTGAAAATTATTTTTTGTATATTTTGACCAATGAGAATCACGGTCACAAGCTCTAATAACATCCCAAAGAGTTGGGGCAGACATAAGCCGGATTTTTAAAATAAATAGAGCTCAGGTCAATAGATATGAAGAGAAGACTTTATGGCAGCAAAGGGACAAGACAGATTATCAACAGCAAAGGCGGCATTTGATATCAAGAAAAAAACATCAAAGAAGGCACGAGTTACCAGCCATCAGCAGAAACATCAAAAGTTCAAGTAAAAATTCTCAATTGGTTGGACAGCCAAGAACAAAAAGAATTCTAAGAAATTTTCCCAAGCACAAACTTAGAAATTACTCTGTCCCAGAGATGCTTGTGGGGTAAGTGAAAGTAGGCCTTTTCATTTTTTCTCAAAGGTTGTTGCACCTTTGTTTTTTACTGCCTTCTTGTATTTTCTCTTTTTGTCATTTTCAAAATCCTTGTTTTTTCCCAAATTGTAATTTTTTTCCATTTTTTGCTGGTAATCTTTTTATGAAAAATTGTTATCCTGTCTTAATAGAAAAGGAAGTTTTTGTGCAAACTTTGCATTTGTACATTTTTGCGTTATTGTGTACTGTAAATAAATGTGTTTTGCCTTTTAAAATTTTATCTAGTGTGTGTCTTGTTTTGTAATTTTGTGCCTATTATTATGTTTTACTATTCTTTTTAGACTAAGATTTTGTGTCTGGCATAAGAACTTGGCAGAAATAAGATTTTTATATATATTTATAAAAATTTCTTTAAACAAGAAAATTTAAATAAGTAAATGTAATCATAGATTTTGAAAAAAATGTCTTTCCTAAGCATTTCATTCATTTCCTCCTGCCACACAAATTCACAAAAATAGTTTATTAACATCTGGATTTATACTTTTATCTCGAGAATTAAAACAAAAATGTTAAACACTGTTTATTTATTAGACTGTTTATTTACAAGAATAGTGTTTAACCAATCAGCAATTATGTGCAAACCATCTGCAAACTTATAGCATTTTGTATTCCAAAAAGGTCACCCATCTAGGTACTGACCAGGCTTTATGTTGTTTAACTTCAGTGTGCATACTGGAACTGGTGTTTCAACGTGATGCAGCCGTTAGTCTACAGCATGGAAGGAAAGGTCTTTGGTATAGCTAAATGGTTGAATCAAAGTACAGATAATAAAGAGGTTAAGTGTTGAAGATAAGATATTGAAGTTAAAAGTATACAGTGAAATTCTGGAAGTAGAAGCAGACCTTGCACATCAGTGCCAGCCTAACATAGTAGGGAAATAAACAAATGCTGAGTCCTGCATTTTCAAGGGCACTGCATTAAATATTCAAAGTCAGCATCCTACAATCTGGCAATGTTAGTGTTTACATGTGGAGAAATGCATCTTTAACTATTCATCATTTCAAGTCACATTATATCGAAGCTGTTAAATCTCCTGAAATATCTCATTAGAATCATTTGCTTCATATTTTTCTGGATAAGGACAAATATTTACCAGTTTTATAAGATCTACCACTATGGTAATAAATAATTTATGATTTAATATTTATGTGTATTTTTAAAAAATTTAGGACTCCTTTGTAATATATGCTCAGGTCTGACACTAACTTAACCTGGCCCTGCCCCACATGGAAACTAATTTTTTTTTTTTTTTTTAAGCATTATGCCCCAAGCAAGGCGTGAAGCCACTACGATGCAGGGGGTTGCGGAAGATTTGGAGCGAGAGCAGATAGGAATGATAGAAGAAAGGACGAGGAGAGGGATAGTGGGTAGATCAAGGTAACTGGAGATGTTG